TTTTTGCCTCAACTCTCCCCTTCCTTAGCTTTACAAGCAGCTGCAAACACCACAAAACATCAGTGCTCCCAAGCAATTCACACTATGGCTTAATGAATTACTGCTCGTGAGCTGAGCCACAGTAACTGCAGCATACTTACCTCAACTGCAAAAGGAAAACACATTCTTTCAAACAACAGTGGATTCTGGTAATATACAGTTTTGCCCTGAGCAAACAGCATGTCTTATCTATTACTCTGACTTAATGAAGGGGAGTAACTCAACTGCTTGTAAGGGGCATCCATACACAGAACAGGAGGCTCCATCTGAGCAGGACTGTAACCGAACAACTACACCTTTTCTCAAGCCAGTCTCCCCACCTGTCTTTCTCCGATCCAGGGACGGTGCCAGTGTTGGTGGATCCAGGCACAGAGGCAATGGGAGTGCCAACCGTGCGGAGATTCTGGATCACAGAAGACAAGAACTGCTGGCTAGCACTTTCATACAGATCAAAGCAAATTTGGTAGGCCATGAGAAGATTATCTTCCTTCACCAGTTTTTCCAAGATGTCACTCACAGCCTGGGGGTCATCCAGGAATATCAGGCACTGAGCAGGAGGAAGGGAAGAACAGAAAAAAAAAAAAAAATCAGAAGACGTTATATACTTCAGAATGAAAAAGCAACACTACCTGAGGCCACACTCCATTTTCCCCCATTCCCTCATCTGCTGCTTCCACAGAACACCCCTTCAAAGGAAGAAAAATTCTCTCTCTCTCATAAGAGATAACAGAAATCTTTCAAGAGTTTTCATAGGTCAGTTTAAAAACAAGACCAAGTACTACAAAGTCAAGACACACCATTCAAGCCTTCCTATTTCTGCAGCTTTTATCTTCGGAAACTGACAGTGTTGTCCTACTAAACACAGAAATTTCAAAAGCACATTAAAGAAGCATCAGTCATTTTGTAGGGATGTCCTCAGCTAAGATGGAACAGGCCTAAACCTCCTAAGTCACACGTACAGGGCAAACCAAAACTGGTAGAGGGCTGAGAACATCTGAGTAACTGGTTGTCTAAACATTTTCAGACAATGGCTTACCAAAAACCAAAGCATGTACGTGTTCTTTGGAGGAATAAATAAAATTCCAAGCTGTGAACCTACCATCTGCTACACCCTACATAGGCTTGAAATACTCTGTCAGAGTTGTCTACGTCCCCAAACCGCATTTGAACACCTTTCTCTATAAACTGACCCAACGTGCAACATTTGCATCTCTTTTTCAAGTTGATCTTGCTTTGATATATATCTGAAGCGCACAACCAGGAAAAGATATTTCATTTATCTGAACAAAAACCAGAGATCAGGTAGATGTCAAGTCAAACATATCTAAAGAAGAGTAACTTTTGATTGGTCTTTAACCATCACTCTGAGAAGTTTACCTGGCACACGTTGATGAAGTCTGGTTTCTCCAGATTCATGTAGATTTTCACTAGAACTCTCAAGACTTTATTACGGAACTGTTTGTTCTGCATCAAAGACATACAGAGCTTCAAGCTGTAGGCTAGCATCCCAGGAACATCGTTCTGAAATAAGATTCAGGGATATCAAGTCTGGGTTTGGGCAAGGAGGATTTAGAAAGTAAAATAAAGCTACCTCCTTTCTATTTTAAAAAGCAGAGCAAAAGACATGCACATATAAACCTTCACAGTTTACTGTCCCATTTTTAGAAAAGCCTATATGCAGGTGTATCGCAGTTTAAAGAAAAAATACTACCAAAAATGTAAGAACCAATATTAAATTCAGTAGTTAAAACATGCAAAAGCTTCATTTAAAAGTTCAATATCCATTTTCACTTCTTCACCTTTCTTGTTTGAATGTTCGTTCTCAAACGCAGTGAAATTCACTGCACTAACATAAAATGTCAGCAAAACAAACCGCGCACAGAGAAAAGGTCCCAAACACACCTATTTCTTGCTAGAGACTGGGAAACAGATTTGGCTACTAGACTTCAGTAAGGTAATTTGAAATGAGGGATTTATAACAGGCAATTAAGTCAGTAAATGCATAGGACAGCAAACAGAACAGAGAAAGCAAGACAGATGCTCCGTGATTATCATTCCTATACAGAAATGGGAGACATCCAAAAATGTGGGAAAGCTGTAAACTGAAAAGTGGCAAAATTTAAGGGATTTAAACCATGTATATGATTGAGATACTGCAGCAGAACAAGATTACACACAACCACCGAGCTCCTGCCAACGACTACAGGCGAGCTTCTCTTACTGCCGTAACACAACTTACCTTAAACCCTCAGTGAAAGGTGTTAAAGCCGGACTGTACTGCCTCGCAGTCAGGGCAGGCTAAGACTGCACACAGCCACTTACTGAAACACAGCAGCTCACCCAACTACTGCATTGTTTTTGTTCCGCCTGCCATAAATAAATCCCTTACCTAGCCCCCAGGATGCCTTCCCACAGTGAATTACAGCAGACGACAGGCACAACAAAATAAAAGAGCTGTTCTTACATCACGCCAGGCCTAAGGTCTGCCTAGTCCAGTATTGTATCTCTGCTAGTAGCGGACAGGGAATACCTTAAGAAGAGGGCAATAGCCAAGTTTCCTGAGAATATTCTCCCAGCAACTTGCAGCTCGGGGATTTCTTAAAGGTAGGAGTCTCTGCCTTCCATGAAGAACACCCCCAAGTTTCATCTTTTATTCTGTTCATACAAAACAGGGCAAGTTCTGTAGCAAAACGGATCCTGCACTTCACTCCTGGATCCGCACCTAGAAGAGACTAGGCAGATGCACCTCCCCTCTCTTGCACATACCGATTCAAGGATGGTTTTCTCAAAGATGTCCAGCCTGCGTGTCTCTAGAGCGATGCCGATGGCCTGCTTGTACTTATGGTCATCCAAGCACCGCTGGAACATTTTGTTCACTATCCCTTCTAGCCTTTCATCGACAGGTTTCTTCTCCCCTTCTGGCAGCTCTGCATTCTCCACACACTGCTTGGTATAGTGGTCGATACATTTTGCTGAAAAGATATTGAACAAATATAGGGGGGGAAAAAAGTCAGCTTCCTAGATGTCTGCAGTTTTTTTACAGATGAAAAGACCAGTATGTGCACACATACATTCTACCAGCAAATACAGCATATGGGAAACTACACAAAGGTGAGGCACAAGAACTATTTGTGTAGTCACATACAGATAGCAGTGGAAGACACTTATATTCTCTCCTAACAAACTCTGATTTTAGTGCTGAAACCGAGAAGATATTTCTAAAATGGAACCGAGGACACGATCTTTATTCAAGCAGCACAATATTTTAAATAAATGAGGAAACAGCAGAAGGAGACTTCCTAGCTCCACTGTAAGCACTAGCTGGGGAGACTGAAATCCAGTCCTGCTCCATCATATCCTGTACAAGGTAAGCGACACCAGCAGATGAGACTTTAAAAAAGACATTTGGATTATACACACATTCAATATCTGACTTGCTATCTTTTTAAGGGTGGATAAAGGAAAATTGTACCCCTCAGTCAGGTGTGCAGCTACACTTACTAGCCGATTATTTCCAAAGTTATGCTGAAATCGACATCAACATTAGCACACAAATGAGAGAAAGGACAATAAACAGCCAAAGCAATTTTCCTATTAGGAACTCGCAACAGAATAAAGGGTTAAGAATCAGAAAAAAATGCCAGACCTCCTAAGTCAGTTTCATTACAGAATCTCAAAGCAGCAGAAAGAAAGCACAAACAAACACGGTAAAATTAGCTGCAGCATCAATTTAAACGAATACAAGGAGAGGAAGAGGAATATGGAGAAGAGCAGCTAAACCAAGTAAAATCTCAAATTTACAGTAGTTTTGACAACACAAGAGCTTTTCTTTCACAGCAACAGTTGTTTACCAATGATCGTCTCCACATATTCCGAGTTGTCGTTGACATTGAAGAGGTCACCAGCTCCCAGGGCATAGTTCAGGGATTCCTCAAAAGCTCCCAGGTGGTAAAAAACTTTAGAAGCAACTAGAGCAGCAAACTGCCGGCTCCGAAAGCCCTCGTCTTCATAGAGAACTTCACTGCAAAGAAGAGCAAGAAGAGCATCAGCTCTGTGTCCTCAGTTCTCTTTAAGGCCATGTGACAGCTTGATCGAACTTGCATCTTTGGGACTACCCCAGCTTCAACCCCACACCCACTTATATTAGTCCTTTCCGGAAAATACAGAGCTAGATGCTGTATTAGCCTGCATCAAGCAACCAGAACTACATCCACTCTGTATCTCATGTTCTTTCTAAGCAGCACACCCTGAAGCAGTAAGTGTCTTCTCTTACATTTTGTCCACCGACTCAGAGATTTCTGCCCAGAAGTCATTGACAACAGCATTCAACTTGTGAAGAGCAAACTCCTACAAAAAATAATAAAAAGTTCTATCACACACACAAAAAAAGAATTTACAACCTTTCCCCCATAAAAATGAAGTACCACATAAGACTGATATCATAAACACTGACCCATTTCAACAGCAAATTCTACTTTAAAACATCTTTGCAAGCATTCACTAGTCTTTGCAAGTCCTTTGCAAATCAAGCGCTGTTCATTTAACAGGTAAGACAACCCTGATGTTCCTTCCCATGGCCCCTCTGTGATGAATGACTGGACAAAACGACCAATAGGTCAAAGTCCTTAAATTACAAAGTTTTCAAAGTCTCTGTGGCCACCTTTGTGTAGCGTGTAGATTGATCTGTGGTCTATGGCAGCCAACTCTATTTATTTGGACACAGTACTCTAGCAGATAAACAAAATCTGGACTAGATGAACCTGTAATCAGTTCAGAGCAAAAGCAGGGCTCATGCGGATCTATCACCACCTATGTCTGTTTCCAAGGAAAACATTTAGGGGACTACTAATACTATAGGATGCTCCTCCCCCTCCTAAAAGAGGCTATGTTAACTGTTCAACTAACTAGCAAGCATCAGCAATACACCACCACTTCGAGTGCTTGGTGTTGAACTATGGATTCATATACCCTGTGGACTGCAAAGTTTCTATTGCTGTTTTCTTCTCCTACTACTATCGTGAGTTTTTTTTTTTCCAAAGGAAAACTGTAACTGTGATTTTGGTTTACATTGCTTAATTATGCTAAAAACTTGAGATGTTCTTCAGCTTTAATTTTATGTAGTCAACAAAGCCCCGTTACCATCAGAGAGCTGGGAGCTTTGGTGAACAGAGATCATTGCACGTGAAGCTCCAGTTCGATCCATGTTCAAAACAAGGAAGTTTGCCATCTGCTACCATGTCATTTAAGCCCTCCCTTTCAGCCTTCAGGCTAGACACAGTTTGAGGCCGACCTGTTGTTGTCCAACCATTAATGATCGAGATCCATACATTTCTGACTTTAAGCTCTCAACATAATGCATTTGCTGTTATCTGCTCCCAGATGCAAGAGCTTACCTTGAGCTGCGGCTCTTCTTCATCCAGAAGAGAGATAATCCCAGCTGCAAAACAAGATCATAGTCAGGTTTGGACTCTCCCTGTTTCAAAAGTGAACATGTTACTTAGTTCAAATCCAACAGAACAGGAAGGAAGGCTATCTCTGGAATGCTAGTTTAAAATCTTCAGTATTAAAATTCAAAGATCAGATCCAAGTTTGTACTAAACATGACATAAAATAGTTCAGAATTTATAACTGAAAAGGTACGCTGTTTATAAAAGATGATCCTTCTTAGAGCAAAATATACTAGACAGGAACCCAGAGAACCTGGGATTTACTTCCAGCTCCATCACTAGTTTGCAGACTGCTTTCTAGCAAGTCACTTCCCACTTCCCCACGGGGCATAAAGAAGATCATAACAAAACTTAGTAACTTTTTTCATGCCAAGGACACAGGCCTCACGGGTAAGAGAAGATGTCACACCTCGCAGCTTTAGCAAGACTCCTGATGCTGTCCCACAACATGTGTACAAACAGCTACAGAAACACTGTTTAACTGACGTAACAGAGAGAGGTTCACGGTTATTTGGGGAGCTCCGTCTGAAGAATGGTTACAGACGGTTTCATTGTCAGACTGCAAGGATGCAACTGAAAGGGTTGGAATAGGATCTGATCCTAGTCCAACACAATTCGCTGCTTTTAATCTTTCACCTGTTGTACATACTGACAACCTTTTTAAATCTAAGACAGACATCAAATGGGAAAGGCCAGCAAGCCTACTGGAGGGCTGAACTGGGCTTTCAAAAGATCTTGACAAATCTAAAAGGAAACTGTGCAGGTCAATACTAAAATGTACAAATACAGAAAGGGATCTAAACAGGACAGTGGATTAAGCTGAAACATTATCGATAGTACCACCTGGCTGCAGCGGGAGGCAGAGAACCCAAACTCAACACAAAGCTGTGCAAGCAAGAGCATTCCTTGGCAGCTACGTGAGGCCATCCCTCCCTCTGCTTGGCACCCACACACCTGAGCCAGACCGCTGTGTCCAGTGCTGGGCACTGTGTTTTAAGAGTTATGAGCAAACCTGGGTGTTCAGAACTGAGAAATAAGAACAAAGTTCAGCAATTAGGATTTACTGGGGTTGACTGGAGGTCTGTAACTGGTTAATCTATGGAAATCTGGGAAAGGTAGAGAGTTCATATGTGTACAGGGCTGCTGCTAGCAGAAAGAGAATAATCTGATCTCTGTGTCAGATGTGAACAGGAATAGTAAGACGAAGCTTTACTTGGAGCTTCAAAGACTAAGTCTGATGTCAGGAAAAGTTTTTGGACAGCAACACAGTTATTCACTTTGCCTAACAAGGCTGTAGAACCTCCACTGTCAGACATTTTTTAAACTATGTTAGGCACATGTCCATCAGTAACAACAACTGAAGGAGCACTGATGTGGCCCTTAGGCAAGGAAGGCAGGTTCAGTAGCCCACCCCACAGCACTCCTTCCAGCTGTTCTCTATAACACTACTCCAAATGTATGATTTTTTTTAAAAAAAAAACCCAAGCCTCCTGCATTTACCTGATCTATTAGGTGGAAGCAATCTCACTCCTATTCAACACACCATTTCTACCTTTTTAAATGACCTCTGAAATTAATTCTTACTTCTCCTCAATTAAAATAAGACTTAAAGCAAAGTGTACCGAAAGAGAATGCCACTTGCAGACTATTATCCTCTGCGCTGTTTCTCTCACAAAGCCACATATTAATTTCTGGCACGAGTACTTTTGGAAATATTTCTCACACTTTCTTAGACTATGAAGTTCTCAGTAGAGCCAGAAATTAGTGTTTAACATCTAATTCCTCACACGCTTCAGTAGCCTGGGCTCTTTAGGCTGGTTTTTCCTCTGCAAGGCACCTGCATGTCTGACCCCCCTCCAAAGCTCAACTCTGCCTCTTCCCCCTCCCTCGTTCCCCGCTGTACCGCCTACAGACCCCCATCGCCCCACAGCTCCTGTGCGTTGTACACTTCGAGCAGGCGGGGACCTTCAGTTCACAACCGCGGCGCAGGAGCACCCCAGTGGCTGCCGGG